GCGGCCACTGCACTCCAGTCTGGGCGACAGAGTGAGACTCCAACTAAAAAAAAAAAAATAGAAAGCTAATGATGGGGCCTTGCTTTATCAAATATAGAAACATTTTCTAACACTACAATTAAAGAAGTTTTTTTCTGCATAGGAACAGACAACAGGGTTAGTTCAACAGAATAGCAACCTCCAACTTGATTTACCCCCTGCTAGAGTCCCCAGGGAATGAGCACTAAGCACCATCTCTGTTACTCTGCCAGAGCGGCTATCCCACAGCAGAGAACCATGCAGAGGCAGAGCGAGTCCTGCAGGAAATGCGGGACCTCCTTACCAACTTGGGGCAGGAGATCACCCGGGCCTGTGAAGACAAGAAGAGGCAGGATAAACAGGAGGCCCAGCTGAAGCTGCAGGAGTCCCAGATGCCACCTGGTCCAGAGACCCACCGGGAGTCCCCAGCTCCCAGCCAGGGCCCAGGAATGAAACAGAGTGAAGGTGAGTGTTGGTGTGGATTCAGTCCTTTAACTTGGAATGAGTGTCAGCATGTGAAAAGAAATGAGTGTGTTTTTTTATTTCATTTTATTTTTTTGAGTTGGAGTCTCACTCTGTTGCTGAAAACCAGAGTGCAGTGGCACAAGGCTTACCACAGCCTCAACTTCCTAGACGCAGGCTATCCTTCTGCCTCAGCCTCCCGAGTAGCAGAGATTACAGGCATGCACCACACTGCCTGGTTAATATTTTTTATTTCTTTGTAGAGATGAAGTCTAGTTATGTTGCCCAAGCTAGTCTCCAACTCTTGAGCTCAAGCAGTTCTCCCACTTTGGCCTCCCAAAGTGCTGGGATTATAAGAGTGAGCCACCACACCCAGCCCATGAGTATGTTTTAAATATTATGTTAAGAGCCAGGCTCGGTGGCTCAGCCTGTAATTCTGCGCTTTGGGAGGGTGAGGTTAGTGGATTGCCTGAGCCCGCGGTTCGAGACCCGCCTGGGCAACTTGGTGAGACCTCATCTCTACAATGAATCAAAAAAATGAGCCGGGTATGGTAGCGCGCGCCTGTAGTTCCAGCTACTTGGAAGGCTGAGGCGGAAGGATCACCAGAGTCCAGCAGGTCGAGGCTGCAGTGGCCGGGAGCGGCCCCTGTACTCCAGTCTGGGCGACAGAGTGAGACTCCGACTCAAAAAAAAAAAAAAATAGGTATGTGTAAAAATAGACCAAAAAGATTATTGTTAATGTTAGATTTTTGAAGACTTAACTCCCATTTTTTTCTTATAGTTTTGGGCGAGAACATGTTAAATTTGTTATTTAGAACAGACCATAGTAAATTTTCAGTAAATGTCTAAAGCTTTATTGATGTACCAGTACATATATGGAAAAGCGTGTGGATCATTAATGTGCAGCTTGTTGAATTTTTACAAACTGAACATAGCATGGCATTAAACAGAATCGCAGCTGCATTTCCAGAGCCCTCCTATGTCCTTCATAACCACCATCCTGATTTCCAATGGTGTAGATGAGTTTTTCTGTATACTCTCTGTGCTTGGCTTCTTTTGCTCAATGCTACATGGTAAGATTCATGTTGTTGTAGTTTCTGCATTCTTGTTGTAGATTATCCCATTGTGTGAATATGCTCAGTTTATTGATTTTACCATTGATGGGCATTTGGTTAACTAAAGAAATTTCTTTTTAAGTGTCAGCCTTTTTTTCTAGGCAGTTGCTATCCCTGCCCTGAGACTGTGGATGTGAAATGTAATTGTGGTAATACAAAGGTGACAGTACCCTGCGGCCGAGAACGTACCACAAGGCCACCCAAGTGCAAAGAGCTGTGCGGGTCAGTACGAAGCTTTGCACACGCTTATAGCTGTCTTTTTGCAAGTTTCAATTCATGTTGAGTTTTAATATTATTAGTATTTTAGTTTAATTTTGCTTTAGTATTTTAAATACTTACATTCATGGTATGCTCATTCTATATGGAATCAGAAGATATAAATTAGATAATTATACTTTAGATGTAATTGTTCAATGATCAAAAGTAATTTTTTAAAAAAATAAATGTACTTTAAATCTGATTTAGTCAGCCACCAAGTTGTCATCATACAAGTCAAGAAAAACATCGCTGTCACTTTGGTGCTTGTCCTCCGTGTCATCAGCCTTGCCAAAAAGTTTTGGAGAAATGTGGTCACTTATGTCCTGCTCCATGTCATGATCAAGCATTAATAAAGCAGACTGGCAGGGTAAGGGAACAATCTTGTTTTAAAAAATAGTAAGTTGTTCTGGGTCATACATTCTTAATTTTACTTAGTCATTCGACAAACAATGATTAGCCACTTAAACTGGGTATCAAGCAAGGGTGTGTGGAGCTGGGGTACAAGGTGGATAAGACTTGGTCTGTTGTCTTAGGAAACTAATAGTATAGAAAAAGAGAGACTCTAGTAGACAAAGTATTTGCAAACGCAGTGTGCCAGTTGTACTGTAACATGATGTGGATGGGTTTGGCAGTTGTCCATACATTGTGGTTAGGGTTAGAGACATCTCCTCTGATCCTGAGTTCTTCAGCAGCTACTTACTAAGCCTTCCTGTGGGCCAGTTGTCCTTACTAGAGTCTGAACAGCAGTCAGCAGAGTTAGGAGATTACCTTCAGCTGGTGGAAGCTGGCATTTACAGTTCTGTCTCTCCTTTCTCCTTGGGAGAGGCATAGGAGGCACACTGTTTTTGTTCTATCATTTAAAAACTGGAGTCTGCCCGAGTTATTAATATCAAGTCTATATGGAGGTGAATAATCTGATAAAGATGGAATAAAATACTTCAGTAAGCACAATGTGTTGATTATTTGGAGAAATTCCAACCCGCTTGAAGAGAGACTGCATGGGACTGTTAGACTGGTGAGTGACTGTGTGCTTGGGTGCCTCTGACCTAAGGTCTTCGTGTGTCCTACTGCAGCCCCAGCCCACGGGTCCTTGGGAGCAGCCTTCGGAGCCAGCGTTCATTCAGACGGCACTGCCTTGTCCTCCATGTCAAGTTCCTATTCCTACGTAAGTGTTAGAATTTTTTTTTCTTTTAATTTTTATTATAAAGATGTGGGGTACATTTCAGGGTTAGGTATATAAACATTGATCATGCAGGTACCCTTGTTGATGAGGTATACCCCTACCTCCCCTATCTGTTTCCCTCAACTGCCAATCCCACCCCCTCCCCTGACAGTTTCCCACTATTGCCAATCGCTTTCTTATAGCATTATAATTGTTCAAGGTCCATTTGTGAGTGAGAACATAAGGAACTCTGTTCTTTGCTTCTGTGATAAATCACTGAGTATGATCAACTCCAAATCCATCCAAGTTGCTGTAAAGTTCATATATTTGACCTTCTTTATGGCTGCATAATATTCCATTGTGTATACGTACTACATTTTTTTTATCCAGTACAGCTTTGATGGGCAACACGGTTGGTTCCAAGTTTTTGCTATCGTGAATAGAGCTGCAACAAACATACATGTACAGGTATCTTTTATGTAGAATAATTCGAGTTCCTCCGGGCATATTCCCAGTAGGGAAATTGCTGGGTCATATGGAAGGTCAATTTCTAGTTCTTTCAGAAATCGCCACACTGTCTTCCAAAGAGGTTGCACTAGTTTGCATTCCCACCAGCAGTGTAGAAGTGTTCCTTTTTTTGAGTTGGAGTCTCACTCGGTCGCCCAGACTGGAGTACAGTGGCCGCTCCCAGC